TGGGCTTGGGCAGCATTGGGTTGGGATGTTTTCGTGATGCACATTTTCTTTGCATAAAACTCTCTTATACGTGAGTCGGCCGTGAATTTGTTTCTCCAAAGTACCCAGACTATTACACGTTCTTTTAGCACTAGAGAACTGTGTATATACTGCAGCAGAGAAAGAATGCGGTCTCTCCACTCAAAGTATAAATGATAGAAGAGTGTGTATAACAGGGCTGTGACAATCTTGCTGGTTTGACCCTTCTGGAATATTTTGTCTAGTTCCAGGCCTCAGAGAATCCGTTGAAAATGGTTGTACTCTGAAGGGGTTCCCAGGAGAATGTGAAGGGGACTGAAGATCAAAATGTGTGGGGAAACAGTTGGAAAACAGGAGTTAATCTAGGGGACCCTCACTCTGTGTCACCAAGAGTTTGTGCTTTGGGTCACCCCCAAGGGAAGACAGATTTAGGACAATGGAACAAATCTATGAGCAATTTCATATAAAAAGAAGTTTTTTTATACGAAACAACAGGGCTTCCTAGCAATGGATGGGCTTGCCTTAGGGAGGGACCATGGCTGACCTGAGATAGACAGGGGACAGATGCTGGACTGAACCACTTGTAAGGTTTCTTCCAATCTTGAGCATATGCTATTTGATGAGTGTGCTCATTGTGGGGTCTTGGGCTGAGAGTGCAATCTTGGCCGTGGAGTAGGCTTTATGTCCAGACTGTGAAATGTATTGGTCATGCAAACCCAAGCTGGATAAGTTAGTTAATGTCTTTGATCCTCCATTTCTTTCTCTTTCCATGGGTTGTTGCGTGGATTAAATGTGCTACATTTGAGTAATTTGTGGTTCACTCATGATTGAGCCAACTGGTCTATTCATTAGAACCCTGCTCTGTTTTTTTAAAAAAAATCATTTTATTTGAGGATCGTATAGCTTTTATTACCATCCATACATCCACTGTGTCAAGCAAATTTGTACATTTGTTGCCATCATCATTTTCAAAACATTTCCTTTCTACTTGAGTCCTTGATATCAGCTCCTCATTTTTCACTCCCTTCTCCTTCCTCCCTCCTTCTTGAACCCTTGATAATTTATAAACATTTTTTTCATGTCTTATGCTGACTGATGTCTCCCTTTACCCACTTTTCTGTTGGGAGGAGGTTATATGTAGATATTGTGATTGGTTTCCCCTCTTTTCCCCCTTACTCTCCCGGTATTGCTACTCTCATTATTGGTCCTGAAGGGTTTCTCTGTCCTGGATTCCCTGTGTTTCCAGCTTTTAGCTGTACCAGGGTACATGCTTTGGTCTTGCCGGATTT